TACGTCACAAGCAAAAGAACTTTTGTAAATCTCATGTTATCGTAAGAGTTTGGCTCTGGAAATTTTGGATAGTTAGAATTTAAGTTCTTTATTTAATTTTTCATTAATTTAATTTTTAGTTAAGGAATCTTTCCTTTCAGTCCCGTTTTCACTATGCTTTCTTGCCAGAATGTTGATAAGCTAGCAAATTAGGTAGAAAGAAGTGCTATTTAAGGAAAGGTTTTTGAAAGGTGTTATGCCTGCTTGAAGGCCAGGTTGCTGTTCTAATGTTATGATGACCAGTGTATGTTATTCAATGTATTATTTTGTCAAATTTTTAATTTTTTATTTTACTGATGCTTGAATTTTAAAGATAACCTAAACAATACCACAGATATCGAAGAAATTGGTGGTTTCTCACCAGCTTGAAGACATTTAGAAGGCTTCCAAAAAATAAATTTTCAATGGACTAACAGTGATTTTTCTAGAAGGTTCTAGAGATGTCTTTCCTTTACATTGAAACATTGTATATATAGGAGGTTGTGAGCAGCCATGATCCACTAATAATTGAATTTAATATGCTGCAGAAAGTTTTACCACAGTGATTTTTGCAGTGATTACTACATTAAACTTTATAAGCAATTTTGGTTACTTGAGTGTTAAAGAGTATTATAGCTTATCTGTGCAATCAATCTCTTTGGGCATTTCATAGCCAATTATATTACCTCTAAGAGCTTTTCAAGTCTTCCTGTCATTTGGCTTATTAACTAAGCCAGGGTTAGAAGCCTCGTTTTAGTTAAAAAACAAGCATCTATAAGCACTTTTCAAGCACATTTTAAGAAACAAAAATAAGCACCCATTTAATTACATATATACACAACTGCATAATCTTAAAGAGGAAATGAGACTTGAAATTTAAAATATAAGAAATTCAGTATTTAATACTCATAAATTCAAAACTCAAGCATGGAAAACAGTTACAATATTTTTTTTTTAAAATTTTAATTTTAAATAACAGATCAATTTACAGAACTAATTTACAATGAGGATGAAAAAAAAAACCTAAACAAAACTGAACTATATTACAAGATTTAATGATCAGATTTCAGTTAAAATGATGAAATTTTAGTTAAAAATGCACAAAATAAATAATAATAATAAACCATATTTATTATAGTCACACAAAGTACTTCACACTATAAAAAAAATCTGATGCAAACACCACATAACTTCCTTTTACGGCCTAATAAATTACACACATTTTTTCTGCATTTCACTTATGAATTTCATTAGAGATATATTTCTCATTCAATTCTTTCAGTTCTCACTTCGCGGCAAGGAAAAACTACATAAAACTTCAAAATATCTTCATTAAAAATTGAAAAATATAGAAAAACAAAAAAACACCAAATCCAGTTAAAACAATAAAAAAAAATCAATTTTTACAATTAAAATTACAGTTTCTAGGGGAAAAACAAGCAATTCGGCAAGCTGGAAAGAAGGCAGCCTTTTTCAATACACAAAACTGAAAGTTTACTTTTGGTCCCAGTCAGTAAAAAGACAAAGATGCAGAAACAGACTTAATGCACTATTTTGCTAGTTTTCAAATGTACACAAATATATCTTCGATGTTATGCTTAGCTACACTTGAACAGCCTAAATTATTGATAATTCTACAATACTGATTAATTGTAGAATTTGTTGTAGAATTGATTATAATTAATAATTCTAGAATTATCAAAGTAGGTTAGGTTGGGTTACTTAATTACAGCAAAGCCTCGAGGGCTATCTGCCTAAGGGGAGGTATGCCTTCGTGGAGGACTTTCTAAGAGAAACTGGCTCGTATACACGTTACACATGGGAAAAACCACAAAAACACCCATGCAGCCAGCCCGTTCGTGGGATACGAACCTCGGACCGAACTCAGCGTTCAGCGACTTTACCGCTCGGCCGCTGGTGGGCAATTATCAAAGTAGAATTATCAATTATCATAATATAAATATTGATAATTGATAATTTTACAATTCTTGATACTGCAAGCAGATTAATTAAAGGCATAAAAACCTTAACCAGAACATAACAACAATATAATTCAATCACTTTTAAAGAAAAAATGCACAATTTACCAATATATAAGAATAAGAAAAACTGAGCGACAAGAATTTACTTGGCTCACAGATAAAGTAACAGAGTGGGTAACACGTTTGAGTAACAGAGTGAGTAACACACAATCACAGAGCAAGTAACACTTTTGGTGCAGCCGACTGCAAATAAAAGGGGAGGGGCACAACTACATGTTATAGCAGTCCTATACATAAAATTTAAATGGTCTGAGGCTACTTGCTTTTGAGTTATGCGAGATACATGCGTATATATACAGACGCATGAAAAAATTTCTTCTGAATCCCTTCAGCAATCCATTTTAGGAAAAAGAGTCCTTTATTCTGTCCTTAAGTACAGATGTCACACAAAAACATCATTAAATTGCATTCTATAGCGGTTAATATGTATATTATTGTTGAAATATGATACACAATTTTTTTGTGATTTCAATACTTCCTTTACTTCATACCAGGAAGTAAAAAGAAACAAGAAAAAAGACTTATGCTTATTAATCAAGAATAGAATTTTTATGTTTGATTTTTCTTTTCTCTCTTTTCATTAATATTTGAATCTAGTTCTCTTAACTGAGTTTGTTTTTCACAAATAGCTTTTAAAATTTCATTAGATTTTTTTATGAGATTAAAGTCTTTTGAAAATTCAGCACTTTTAGCAAGTTCAAAGTTTATTTGCTTTATTTACAAGCACTTTAATATATCTTTCTAAGAGAGTTTTCTTCTCTTTAAGAGAAATCAATTTATCTGTTGATTCTGCTTTTTTTTTTCGAGGGGGGGGGACTTGAACAATTTCTTCTTTCTTTGTGCTCTTCCATATATAACCAATACTGTGAATGAGCTGATGAAGCTGCCATTTTCATCTCTTTCACAACTGATACATTGTGGATTCCACCCGTAAGAGTTTCATATAATCACAAACTATGCACTGGGAATTGCATGAATTTTCTTTAAGATTTTGTGTTTCTATATTTCTATTGATATTATATTCTCATTCAACAGATGCTTGCCCATGGGAAACAATAAAAATCATTTTAAATGTTTCCTATAACTTTTTTCATTAATGAATGTATTTTTCATTAATGAATGTATGCAAAAAAAGTATCTAATCTCATTTTTTGTAAGTTTTAAATTCTGTAAAGTATGGCTGGACAACATTTTAGATGAAACTGGAATATTCCGAAAATATATTATCTCATTCTTCTTCTGCAGTGTAACCTTTTGAAAGAAAATGCATCAATATACTTTTCATTTTCCCATATGCTTTTGTGCTGTTTTAAGCCATATACTTTGGATCCATAGAAACAGCATTTCAAATTAATGGATAATCAGCCGAACATTTCTCCATCAATTTTCAAGTAGTTGTAAAATAAAAGTTTGTGAGTCGCATTTAAAAGGAAGGTAATCTTTATGCATGATTTCTTATTTAGTGTATAGTCCTTGCAAGAGCTTATCAGCCCTAAATCCTAAATTAATTTTGCTGATTTCAATAACAATACTTTCTCCAAAAAATCAAACATTACACAAATATTTCAGTGATAAATTCATTTTTAGCATGTACTCTTCTTTTATCATTTTGAAATGTTGTAAAAGTTGCTTTACTAATTCGTGTAAATCAAAAGAAAAAAAAAGGGGGGGACAAGTGGTTCATTACTTTGGCACAAACCCAAAAGCCACACAAATGAAAAAATCTGATGTGTACACCATGACTTCCTTGCATGGAATATTAAAGTATATGCATTTTTTCTTGCGTTTCATTTAAACTTTTTGGATCGAATTAAATCTACTTCATCAATAGCACATAAACCACAATAGATTAAGTGCACTCTTTAAAATTCACTACATTTACTTACCATAGCGACACTCTGGTGCTAGGTTACTTTAACAATGTTACATCTCATTCATTTTATAACTCAGAATGCACAAAATTTATATCATCCGGAGAATAATCTAATCGTTGCCACATGTTCTATTCAAATGCTAGAATAAATCTAAAACGGTGTATAAAAGAATTTGTTGCATTCCTTAAAAAATAAATAAATAAAAAATATAAATAAAATAAAATTTAAAAAAAAATCTAAGAGTTTTCAGATTTTATACTACCCCCAAATGGGCATCCCCCCCATTTACAGACACGTTTCAAGAGAATTTGGGCTAACATCACTTTGGGTTGGAAATTTAAAAACAGCATACCTTTAGAATTTCTGACAGACACTCAGAAAAAATACTCTGCACACTAGAGATAAAAATGCTTTATTCCCTACAGTGTTGCCCTGCTCACTTTGAAATCATTGAGCTTTTTAATCACAAATTCATTATCGTGTTACACAATATGAAATAGGCAATAAAACAAATTCCAGATTCGGGCCTACGGGTGCTTCTATTCAGGAGGAGGCTATATTATTCAAAATTTCAAAATTTGACAGCTCTAGATTACATTGTTTTTTCACAATGCGAGAAGCATACATACATTCATGCAGATTCTTTATTACTTAATTTCTTTAATTATAATAAAAGGTGATAATACTTGGTGGCAACAATTTGAAAAATGATTCAGACTTTTAGTGACTCAATGCAAAATCCCATTTTAAGACTAACAGCTCTTCCTGGCTAATGCCATTTGGGCTAGAAAGTACTAAAAACAAAAAATAAATACTTTATAAAAAACTAAGCACCTATAAGGGCCTTTATAATCTCTTCTGAAATATAAGTAATTATAAGCAGTTGCAAGAACTGCTACACACCCTGTAAGCAGACCTCTGCAAATCTATGGAATGCAACTATATGTATGTTTTGTATAAGACAGATTATTTCCAAAACATATTACATAAATACATATATAAATTAATATTACAGCTCAGAAAACTGTTATTTGTAGCAGATAAACCTCAAGGTACAATTACTTACTTTGAAAAGAAGTTTTAGTTGTTTAAGATACTTTAGTTTTGCTTGGTTAAAATGTCGAACCTTTTCTGTAACTCTTTTCTTCTCCTCTTCCTCATCAATAATTTGTGAACTCTTTTTGTCATACTGTTGTTGCTTTATTATCAATTTTTGCTTTAAATTTCTTATCGATACCAGTCTTTTATTCAGTTCATCCTGAAAGAAAACTCAGAAAATGTAATATACTACGACACACAAAATTGAACTCTTATATTTTAATGAAAATATATTAGTAATATATTATATTTGTTCAATTTGCATAGCATAAAATATTTTTTATTATTACTTTTCTGTAAAATAGAATTCAAAAATCATGATTTAAATTAAGACTCTTCAAATTCAATTTTAGTTTAATCAAATTTTGGAACAGTGTATTTCAAAGATCCTTAGTTCCTGTATAAACAATTTCAAATGCCAATTTTAAAGTTCATAATTATTTCAGAGGGAAGTTCTGTTAAATAAAGAAAAGAGAGAGAAATGCTCTCTTTTCTTTAATTTTCCTTTAATTTATATTCTTTTTCCCCCTTAGTCACTTCAGATTCAAAAAATGCATTCAGTCTCTTAGAATTCACATATGTATTCTGTGTCTACTAATGATCTGTCATTACTTTTATACAATACTTAAACTTTTGTTTAAGTCTTCCAGATTTTACTTGCATCCTTCATCAGTTTTGGACTAAAGACTTATACTTCTTAATTTTTATATTTCTTAATAACGCTACACATACTTTAGAGTTAATTTCTATTTCCCTTTTATATTTAAAAATAACATGTTTTCTTATGAATTGTTACGTAACATAATTGTAATATGATTAAGATTTTCACCATTGCAAGCCATAGTCTCAGTTTCAATATTCTCACACTACAATCTGCAAAATTCAGATATTTTAAAAATATTTGATGATTATCATTTTTGTTTTCATATATAATAACTGGGTTACCAAAATATGGATCCGAAGGACTTATACCCATCTTCCCCTCCCACTGAGTCTCTTGAAAGGAACTTCTGATTCATCAATATTTTAAAAGCCTCCATGCCACACAGCTGTTACACACTTACAAACATAAGTCTTCTCCAAGATTTTCAATGGAGCTCAAAGTTCCTCTGAGTAAATTTGTAGAGACAGTAATAATGTTAAACCTAATTATTTTGATAGCATTTTTATATTATTCTTTTAAAACTGTACTTTTCAAACTGTTGAAACAAATTTCAATACCATTCTGCATTACTTACATGATTTTTTATAAAAAATTATGTTGAAAAAAAGCATTCACAGTGGAGATAATGAGTGCTAAATTACTTCAAATGTCAACCCAAAATAAATAAATCACAAATTTGTATCTGACAATTCAGGTTTTACATGTACAGTAAAAACATTAACAAATCAAAATACTCCATATACTGACAAATCAAATAAGTGTTCACCGCAAAAGATATGAATTTCAGTTAGTCATGTGTATCTTTAAAAACTTACAGGTTTTATTAAAAGAAATAAGTCTAGAGATTATAATAGTATGGAATTACATAGCACAATGCCTTTGATGAAAAGTACTGAAGCCCGACAAGGTTCATACACAACTGTTTAAACGGAAATTAAGGTCTTTTAAGGAATATTTAAGTAACACAAAAAATAAATAAATAAAAATAAGGAACACAATAAAATAAAGCAATTAGCAATGCAAACACTTTGCACTCTTACAGTACTATTCTATGAATAAAACAGAAATATATAGGATGCATTATTTATTAAAGATAATCTAACATTTAATATTACTGTAAAAATAAGTTTGAGGATAAAACCAGCTCCTTAAAAGTTTTCAAGTAAATAACATTAAATTATGTATACAATTCTTGAAACAATAATATTTTATACTTACAACAGTCACACATATTTTAAAGAAAATAGTCACTAAAAAAATTCTTCTATTAAAAAATATTATTCATTATAAAAACACACTATTAAAATCTTAGTCTAAGGAAATTTTATAAAGTAGCAGATAATTATACATATAATTTATTATGTTAGTTTTAAAAAAAAGTAAAATTAAAAGATACAAAAAATCGCTAATACCATACAATATTTTGTCTTTTCCGTATGAATTTTTTTATGTATTTTAATTTAACTGTAACTACTTCCTTCTCTTTAACTACTTTTCTAAAATAATTTATTTTAGTAAATAAATCACTGTTCCTGTTACTCTCCACATCCTCAGTTAATTCGTAAATATCTTTTTGAATTTTTTTTTTTTTTTTTTTAACTTTATGTAATCAATTTTTTCTTCAATAATTTTTCTCTTCATCTCTAAATTTTCAAATTTAATGAAAAAATTTTAGGCCTAAAAATCTGCATGCCTTTAGAATGCACACATGATGTTAATATTATAAATTTAAAAATTTCGATATTAAGAATAATTCCAGAAAATGATATTGAGAAATTCTATAAGTTTTCTATAATATTGTATGATATATACGTATCATACAATCTGATACATTGGATGAAGCTGTTAAATTGTAAAGTTTTAATACCTTGATTAATACAGATATTTCTTTCTACAGTGCATCTCCATATCACTTGCAATTTTCCATTTTTCTGAATACAGAAAATCTCACTAAATTGCATTCTGGTGACCTTGCAAGATTGATATAGCCTGCCCTTTGTTACGAAGCCAAGAGCATTTTTGATATCATTTTAACTGCACCAAACAGCTAACACAATTCGTATAATGAGAAATTAATGAACAAAATTTTTCCACAAAATAGATCTATTCTGTATTAATATCATTTATATATTTTTCATTCTGTCACAGGCCTTTTTCTCAATTTTTTCAATTAAAATACCTTCCATTTTCTATTTAAATAAAAAGCCAGATTAAAAAAAAAATAAGAAAAAAGAATAAAATTAATTTTATGAAGAAAGCTATGACATATCTGGATATTTCAAAAGAATTATCTGAGGAAACACATTTACAGCAAATGAAATAACTAATATAATTTCAGTAGCTTTTCTGCTCTTGCTTAGCTAAAAATATTCTGCTTTTATAACATTTATTATTTTATTTAAATTTCAGAATCAAAATATCCAAAATTCAGCAGTACAAAAGGCAAAGACATTTTTAAAAACATGGCACTTGGAAATATTTTATTTTTATATTATTTTCTAAAAATATATAATTTTAATACAGGGTAATCCAAAAGTCCATTAACATTTGAATATTCAATGATTCATGGAAAAATGTAGGTCAAGAGGTAAATATTGACCCACATGTTTGAAATGACATGGAATTTTATTGAAAGACAAAAAAAAAAAAAATTCCTTCAAGCAAATACGCTGTTTTGCTAATCAAACTGTCAGCGTGGTGGGTGAGAAGTGCCTATGTTACAGAATAGCATCAGCCTAGCCTAGCTGATAAAACACCTGTTGGAAGGCATGAATTTTATGCAGGATGGCACTCCACCTCATATTGCTACACATGTGAAAGATCTCTTGCACAGATCATTTGGTGAGGATCGCATGCTGAGCCACCACTTCCATCATGCTTGGCATCTCAGGTCCCCGCATCTCAATCTATATGATTATTGGTTGTAGGGTTACTTGAAATCACAAGTCTACTGTGATGGTCCGATCTCATTAGGGATTTAAAAAGACAACATCCAATGGCTATTTCTCACCATATGCTGTACATTGCTGCTCACAACACTGTCCCTCGACTGCAGGTATTATTGAACATTTAATTTAGAAGTCAAACAACAATTTATTGTTATTTTAACCTAAAAAATGTTGAACATTTGTTATAAAGAACATAGTCTTTACTAAAAAATCAACTGTTATGCTAATTATTGCTTTTGTTATATGATCACATCTGTTGGCTGTTTTAAGAACTTTTTTTCCCTTTCAATGAAATCCAAGGATATTTCAAGCATGTGTGTCAGTCAGAGATGTAGCTAGGGTTTTCAGTGTCCAGGGACAATCGATAATTTAGCACCCGTTTGCTGAGAATGGAAAATATTCAATTCTAAAATTTCACAACAGTAATTTGGTGCCACCTGGAGGCTGCACAAGGGGACACATGTTCCCCCTCTGACTACACCACTGGTGTCAGTTTTTTACCTCTCTACCTACATTATTCAGTGAATTATTAAATTTTCAAATGTTAACAGATTTTTGGGTCACCCTGTATACTGTCATTATTTTAATGACATCAAAATAACATTATCATACTTGAAAAGAAATCAACAAGAAATTCATAAATCATTGAAATAAAATTCTTGTAAATTGATCTTAATATCTGTCTGTAATATATTAGTAACAACATACACAATTTTCCACATACGCTTTATGTATCCATTTAGTTTTTTTATTTTAATTGCTCCCAAAACCCAGAATAAAATTTGAAGTGTATGTTGTTCGAACCATTTTTTGCATTGTTCTCTGGAGAATGTAGGTATGGGAGTTTATTGACAAAACTATTTTTTGATAAATATAAAAACAGTGGTACTTTTTGGTACAATAAATACAGTCCACACTATAAAGACCATATAGGGACTTTATCTAGACAAATTAATTATAGTTCAGAAAACTGGCTTACTTCATATTTTCGAACAGTGAATCCAAATTTTTTACTTCCCATCACAAATTCTAATGGATTCATTAATCTTGCTCTAACAGAAGAATTGGCTTTACAACCAACTATTGTCATCAATCTTTATTTTATTTATTCATTCTTATCTGACTCATCGTAACTTCTCTGGGGTAATGTTTTAGAAATGGTCCCCATTGTAACTCATTGTGCAGGAGCATGAGCAGTTAAACCACCTGCAGAAATATAGAGTATCTCTCCCCAGATTTGTACTGTTCTAATACTGGCAAATTTTCTCAGAACATCCTCCCCCTTTTTTTGTTTCTTTTTGAACCACTTTTGTTTCAATTTTAATATGTGTATTTAGTGTTAGAATGTTAACCTTTTCATGACCAAAATGGTGCTCCAACAAAGTTATTGGACTAATTGAGAGATCAAACAATAAAATGAAAAAGTGAAAGAATAAATGTATGTTTCCAAAGAATGGCAGCTCAGCTCATGTTAAAGCCAGTTTAAACTGGTTATTTTTTCATTTGCATATCAAAATTACAGAGTTATTTTCATTTACTGAGAAAGAA